CAGACACTTCATCTTCAACCTTCGTCAATTGATTTTTGCAGATCATTGAACTGGTTGTCTTAAGCCATAACAATGCACGATTATGCTTCAACTAACATCATCGTCCATGTCTCTTTGCTTTAGATCAATTCATTTGATTTGACAAAGAGAAATTGCAGAAAAACGTAAAAACCTAGCAAGCTTCAAAGTTAAATTAAATAGTAAACACGAAGAATAAATCAGAATTAAGTGAGGGCTTTTGATCAGGAGAACAAGACGAAGAGTGTGGTAACTTGTTTAAGTGAAAAGGAAACCCGTAACTACCTATTCGAAGTAAGCTTCAAATGTCTGAAAATAGTGAGATCAAATTAGTGCTTCCTAGGGTTGCAAAACTTCTCTTAAGCTTCAAACAACTTCAAATGATGTCGATGAAGGTTTCTGGGTTGAGAATTGAAATTGAAATAAAGGGAAAACAAAGTTAGGCCTTCTGGTGTTTGAGAGGTATCAGGCTTGAGTATGGAAAAGTTAATTGGGTTTTTAAAGCTTTATGTCAAAGGAAAAATGACGCTCTTTATATAGGAAATGAGGTGAGGTCATGACACGTACAAAGTCAGATATTGATCATATGAGTTAGAAAATTCTAGAATCCGTTTTGTGAGAAATTGAGCATGGAATATGTGATTTATTGAGCAATTCAGGTCGTTTTTTGTTGAACCAAACGCGTTTCATCATGACAAAGAAATTTGCACATGTTCAAAGTGGTCCCAAGCAACTTTTAAGTCATTTCTAAATACGAGTCATGTACCAAAGATGCAGAGTTGAGTCACCATGTTCAAGCTTAGGCCAAATGGAATTTATTCGTGAGTTTCTTGATTTTCGTTTTTGCCAAATTATCCTTTCATGGAGTAGAAAACAATGAAAAAAGAACCAATTCAAAAGGATGCTTGATATGAAAATGGATGAGTTGAAAGTTGGGGTTGTGGCACTGGAAATGAGCTTTGGCATTATGTCAAACATGTCATGAACCTAGTTTTGTGCATATGTGGCCTCTAACATTTGATGGACTTAAAGACCAAATTGATATTTGACCTCTGAAGAAAAGTTGTAGAGGACATCATAAGGGACATTTGGCTCAAATTAGCACCCAAAAATATTGAGAAATGAGAAAGTTATGGTGTTTGGACCAAATGACATGCCATACTTGACTTTATGTCATACAACCTTGTTCCAACTAGTGATTTTTGACCTTTCTTGGATTCCAAGGCACATTGATGATCATTTTAACACCACATGATGAATCTTGTTTGACCCTTGGAAAATCTTGAGGATTTCTTGAGACTTTTGAATGAAAAGGGCATGGAAATAAACACATGAACTTTAACTTGAAACTACTTCAAACAATGCCTCAAAATTAAACTTCTCTTGGTCAATTGATGTTGAATGAAGCTTGACATGAATGTGACCTAAGGTTATAGGTCACGCCTTGAATAATAAGCCTTGTTTACCACTTGTTGACCTTGACTTTTGACTTAGGGGATCAAAACCCTAATTTAGAAACCCAACTTGATCTCTTAATGAAAAATACCTACCTTGCAAAACAAGAAAAGGAAACAAAACATATTTTTGTATTTTGAATAGGGCCAATAAAGCCCAAAAGCAAGTAAAGACAAAGATATAAGAAAACACAAAGGGTGCTTGATGATCTCCCATACAACAAACCCAAAGACAAAGAGTGTTAGGAGGTTTCCATGTTTGTGATCTTGATGAAATGCAATGATATGATAAGTGGAAACTTAGGGGTAAAAATTAGGGTATGACACCCAGTTGGCACGAAATAGAAAAACTTCCAAGGTCTTTCATTTTTGGCGGCATACTCTGGATTACCACACTAGTGGTGGCTGTAATGGCTAAAATCTCATGTTCCTCCAACTTCCTCTTTTTGTAGAGGATTTCTTTGACGAGTTTGAAATACGATGGCATCTGGGATATGACCTCGGCAAAATTCACATTCACGTAGAGCTTTTTAGGCATTTCTATGAATTTTATGAACTGAGCTGCCACTCTGGCTTTCAAAATCCTTTGTGAGAAATGTATTTTAGGCTTGTATAGAGGAGGAGCAACACACGGTGCTTCCTTCTCTTTCTCTTCAACCACCTCCATTTTAGATAATGGTTGCACAACCTTGTTAATCTAATCTTCTTTCTCACTAACATTCTTCTTTTCCTCTATTCTTTTCTCAACTGAATTTTTAGAAATTTCTACCTAAACCTCACCTCTTTTATAACTTTTCACATGTTTTCCACTTCTTGTTACCATAACATTTAGTGTCCCCTAGGAATTTGCTCGGACTACCCTGAAAAAGATCCTTGAGGGACTGAAATTATAGCTTGTTATCGTTCTATTTGGGAGATCTATGTCTATAACATCTTATTGTGTGTGGACATGTACTTAATTTTTGTTATCTATTGCCTAAGCAACTCATTCGTATGGAGGTTCTAGTTTTAAAGTCATCATTTTGTTGAGTTTGTGTTGCCAAAAAACTTTCCATCATGGTCTCTAGGTTAGATTTCCTATGAGTTTCACTTTATGGGAACCCAAATGGTCCTATGGCGTTTTGAGATTGATTTTTCTGTTAAGAGAAGTTAGGGTGTTCTCTCCATCCAAATTATACGTATTTAGATAAGGATTCCCTATCTAATTATTAACATAGTTAATAGTGTCATGGTTGGATCTTCCCACTAATATCATTTGACAATCCTCATCCGAATGTCCATTCACCCTGCAGACCTCATAGAAGGAGCCCGTTAGGGTGGTGGGAGCTACATAAGCTACCGGTGAAGGTTTTGATGAGGCTACGATCGAATTTTCAAGCTTTTGGTAGAGCGTGTATACCTTCGCGTTCATGTGATCAAACTGACTAACCTCATAAATCCCACCATTTTGAAGGGCTTTAACACTTTTCTCTCGAGTATTTCTCCACGAATGGTGGTTCTTTCTCATATCCTCGATTAGATTATAAGCCACATCTTTCTGGCCGTTCATGAGAGCGCCACCGGCGGCCGCATCCAAAGTAATCCTCGTAGAATAAAGGAGACCCTTATAAAAGGTGTGTATTATCAACCATGTATCTAATCCATGAAACAAGCGGAGTCTCAACAGGTCCTTGAATCACTCCTAGGCATCAAAGAGAGACTCCTCATCCTCATGTCTAAAGTTAATGATCTTACTTCCCATTTGGACCGTCTTTCTTGGCGGAAAGTACCGCGTAAGGAAAGAAACCTTAGGTTCTGCCCATGAGGTTATAGAATTTGCAGGCAAAGTTTGGAGCCATGATCAATTCGGTACCTTAGCAAGAATGCCCGGTTTGATCAACGTCATTGGCCTTTAAAGTGCCACAATTTTCAACAAAAATAGACTGATGAAGAATCGGAGTTTCCATAGACAACCCTAAGAACTGGTCATGTTGGGTGCCTCACTACTCTATTGTTTAACAACATGTAGTCTAATATCAAATCATATCCTTTTAGACTAGATCGCATACGGGTTACCTTTCTTTTCGCAATCGACACTAATATTTTAAGATTTCAGATGCTAAAATAAAAATACTCATAATTCTCATGGTCCATGTTCAGATAAATCAATTTAAGGATCGTCGTGAGATAAAATCTCACAACCCCTTGTCCTTAGGAAACTACTCACTCATGGTGAGGTTAACAACAATTAAATAAGGTAAAAACATAACAGACATAATCAAGTAAATAATATAAAGGCTATTGCAAAAATAAATAATCCGATTGAAGGAAAGCTTAATTAAAATAACAGTCCAGAAAAATACAACAAAGAATGTTGTAGAGAAAAATGGAGAAGGGCAAAGAACCAAAGCTGAAAGTTACAAAGTATTTGGACGTAACAAGTGACACTTTGCCTTAAGCTCTAGTGCATTACTTATACAAAATCTATCAATTAATCACTCATAATTACGTGTGCAATCATTAAGATCCACTAACATTGAGTCTAGATCGATTTCAGATGTCCAAAATTCACAAAAATATCTAAAAAACTCTTGATTTCTTAAAAGTTGTTGGGTGCAACACGGGTGTGTCACGTGACACAGGGACATGGTCGTGTTAGGTAACACGACCCATGTTAGAGGACACGACTAGCCCGTGTTACCCCTGATTTCCTTGTATGGAAGCAACAACTTTGACCAACACGACCTGTGTTAGCTGATACGACCCAACCGTGCTGGTCTCATATATTTATTTTGTATAGGGAGACATCTTTTTCGCGCGATCCTTGATCTTTTTCCCTCCAATTGGATCCTTTAATCTCTTATTTTCTGACAACATAAAAAAAAATACAAAAACACATAAAATTGAAATAAAATAATAAAAACATACAAGAAAGCAGAAAGAAAATAAATTAAAAATATGATACAATAATCACTTCTTAACACTCTAACATAAAAATACAAGAGAACAAAAAATCAAAACTTTAAAACCTTAAACTCTCTTTTCTTTTACAAAACTAAACACTACAAGACTTCTTCAATATATATATATATTGAACCAACCCCAATATTTATCAATTAATTTAATTACAATTTTATATGTGATTAATCAAATGTCATATGTGTAAGAAAGTTGAGTGTGTAGATATAGAACCTTGAACCTTGTGTCATCTATATAATACTTTAGGCTTTTGTCCTATTGCTAGATATTATATACTTTTAACATTACGTAGAATTATCAAAGATCACAAGTGAAGAAAAACTAAGAAAGTGGTCACCAAAATAAAATAGTGGAAGTTAGCCGTAAACGGTGGTTTGCTTTCAAATAAAAAGGATGGCGAAGACGGCAAGCATGAATCAAATATAATATTGCAAACAGTTTATTCATCCTCCTTCCTCTATGTTCATATACTTGTCGTTGCGTTATTAATATATAAGTTCATGCAATGCAATGCAAACATATTCATTTACAATTCATAACTGTCTGTTTAACTATCTTAGTTGCACAACAATGGGAATGGTTAACACAATGCTCATATTATTATTGTTCATTTCATCGATCCATTTAGGAACAACAACAACCACTACAAATCTATTCAGAGAATACATAGGGGCTGATTCCAACAACGTTAAATTCTCAGATGTTCCAATCAACCCAAGTGTCCAGTTCCATTTCATTCTCTCCTTCGGTATCGACTACGACACCTCATCTTCTCCATCTCCCACCAATGGAAACTTTAACATCTTTTGGGACATGGATAACCTTAGCCCCTCCCAAGTTTCTTCCATCAAAAACCAAAACTCAAATGTCAAGGTAGCTCTCAGTCTTGGAGGAGACAGTGTTAATGGTGGATATGCTTATTTCGATCCATCTTCGGTTGATTCATGGCTCTCTAATGCAGTTTCTTCACTCACTAAAATAATCAAAGACTACAACTTGGACGGAATTGATATCGACTATGAGCATTTCAAAGCAGACCCTGATACGTTTGCACAGTGCATTGGAAGGTTAATCCAAACTCTTAAAACAAATGGAGTCATAAGTTTTGCTTCTATTGCTCCTTTTGATGATGATCAAGTTCAGAGTCATTACTTGGCCTTATGGAAGAGTTATGGACATGTTATAGATTATGTTAATTTCCAATTTTATGCATATGATAAAGGTACAACTGTGTCCCAATTTATTGATTACTTCAATAAGCAGAGTTCAAATTATAATGGTGGGAAAGTGTTGGTGAGTTTCATTAGTGATGGGAGTGGTGGATTGTCTCCAAGTGATGGATTTTTTAAGGCATGTCAAAGGCTAAAGAGTCAGCACAAACTTCATGGTATCTTTGTCTGGTCTGCTGATGACTCAATGGGAAATGGTTTTCGCTTTGAGAAGCAATCGCAGGCGCTCTTGGCTATTCACTAGTCATATATACGAATATGTGTAGTTAATTAGTACTCATGATGACACTTTGTTGTGTAATATATATGTCAATGTATACATGTTTTATTTCAAATATATGTATCCTAAACATTTTTATGTACCTTTTGATTCAACTTGGTTTTAAGGGTAAATCTTATTTTGGTAAAGAAATTCTCTAAGGTCTTATTTAAAGGTATTTCTACCCTCAGAAAAATTGTTCAAATTTCAAACATAAATAAATATTTAATTATTCTGTTTGTACGAGTTCGAACAAGTTAATTGGTATCTGTTAATATGGAATTTTCGACATACTAGATTCCGCAAAGAGAGTGAAATGTTGACATAATACAAGGGTAGTTTTCGACCGTTGGTATCGAGTTCGACACACTAACCCTAATAGTTCTGGGACTTAGCATACTTTTCAGAATTATGAGTATGTTGTTTTTCATAAAGTCGACAAAATGAGTTGTCTACCACAACGGTTGAGACAAAAAAAATAGACTGAGTAACTTTTTTTTTTAAATCTTATCTAGATGTCGAAAACACGTGGAAGCAAGTCAAAAAGTTGAAAACCATGCAATATGTTACATGTCGAATGCTGAAAACATAGTCGTTGTAGGCAGCTATTTATATTGTAGTATATATAATGGTTCTAGGGTTATGAATCGGGTGACAATATCATTGTAAAACCTCTGTAGAACTCAAACTATCCAAGTCAAAATGAGAAACATGTTTATAAGGAATATGTATGATTATGCATACCTTAAGCAAAACATTTTTCATTTATTTTCGCCTATTTCATTCTAGCCTTTTCTTGTTCGTTTGCAATTTATTTCATAAAAGACTTTGACACAGTCAAAGTCTTTGCTTTCATTTTATTTCCAAATCCTTCTAAGTCACTTTCTTAGTCGATTTTTATACTAATAACAATATTTGAACACTTTTCCTTTAGGGATTATGCACAAAATGTCTTAGAATTTTATAATTTGTCCTGTAAGTGATTAATTATTCAAAACTAAGTGATTGTATACCAAAATCACCGGTAAACAAATTGGCACGTTTAGTGGGACTCTTTTGTGCAAAATTTTCAAGTTTTTTACAAGTGTTGTGTTCTTTCTATTACAAATTGTTCTTAGTGCATGAAATGTTTTCAATGGTTATGAATGCATGTGTTTGAGAAGTGGTAAAGCTCTACCTGAAATGAAGCTCTACCTGGACCAACGAATGGAGATGTGGTTGCCTTGACCCCTGTTGGAACTCTAACACCCTAATTTAACCCCGCGTAATTATAATTAAATCAGAGTAATTTAAAGACATCAATCATAATCAGGATGTTACATCCTTCAAAATTATGCATGCCCACCCGTAATATATAAATGATACATAACACCATCATAGATGAACCAACACAACAAAACATTGTATTCAACTTCAAATTTTATTAATCTGCTAAAAGGATTCATAATTTAGAATGTAAATAAACTCATCTGAAAAAAATCAACGTTTACTCAAATATCAAGGAGTTCTTAAGACTTCGGCAATTAATTAACATCAATAAAATAAAGATACCGTTCATCCTCATAGTGTTACGTATCAGAGCATGACGCCGATTCAAAATAAACCACGAGTAACTTCCTCTACTGTGAATCACCCGCATGTTATCCATGTAGAGGTAACATTCAAACAGAAGGGATGAGATATCATAACAATATAAAAGGAAGCATAATAATAAGAAAATAGAAATTTATTATGCATAGTCGTATGTTTTTCATATCATACCTTCACATCATTTTACAACAATCATATGGCATGTCAAATATATAATGCGACAATCCAACAACACATATAATCCATTACGGTATAATACACAGATCATCCACATATTTCAACATCATAATAATGCGATGCAACAAGACCGACTCACCGACTTAATGCATGTTGTACCAACAGGGCTTAAGCCCTCATCATCATGCCAAATAGGGAAGTAATAGGGCATGATCCCTCATCAAAACGCCAATACAGACAATCAATAGGACATAAGCCCTCACCATGAATGCATGCAACACCGACATGCAACAATTTATTATGAATTGATATTCTAACCTTCCAATGCAATACACCAATACATGCCATCATCATCATACATGCAATATACTAAGAAAATTATTCATACAACTTCATATATCATCATCACACGTAAGTACAACATCCATCTTCACCCATCATACATGTTGTACCCCAAAATTTCCCCTCTCATGTTTTCCAAGGTCTTCCCCTACATGGTTGGTCATGAACCCTTGCCTAAGAAAAAGTAAAATTTGTGAGTAGTGTTTTCAAGTTCCGTTCAATTGGTATCTCCAAAATGCCCTTCGATTGGCATTTCAGCAAAACCTTTCGATTGGCCTTGCAACAGGATCCTTCGATTGGCATTCATAAAGGTTCCTACAATTGGGGCATCAGAGGTTCCTTCGATTGGAGCACCAAAGCTTCCTTCGATTGGAGCATCAGAGCTTCCTTCGATTGGAGCATCAAAGATTCTTTCGATTGGATAATCCGAGCTTCCTTCGATTTGGAGTATCAGAGGTTCCTTCGATTAGAGCATCAGAGGTTCTTTCGATTGGAGCATCAGAGTTTCCCTCGATTTGGAGCATTAGAGCTTCTTTCAATTTGGAGCATCAGAGCTTCCTTCGATTGGAACATCAGAGCGAATTGTCCTTCAATTGGCATACTAAGGCAGAGGGAAGTTCTGAACACTTCGAATCAGAACCTATAACCATTCGAATGAAATGAATCAAAGTCGTTCTAAGGAGCTGAATTAGAGCCACTCGAAGGAGGCCATTAGCCCATTCGAAAGAGAGAATTCAAAGGCCAGTATGTCCACATTTATGCCAAATTCAAAAATGGACAAGATCCCTTAACTTTGGCCAAGGTTACATATTAGTATTTATCGCATTCAAATGGTTGTTACAAACATTACTTCTTTTGTCCCCTCACACTCCTATAAATATGAGGCCAAGGACACATTACAAAAGGAGGACAAAACGATTAGAGATACACTGCCCACAAACCCACCAAAGGTTGTCAAAATTTTCATAAGTAATCCAAGCCAAGGCAACCCTTCAACAAAAGTATCCACGCCCAGAAGTCCCAGATCGAAGGGACCCACATCCAAAAAGTGCTCAAATCGAAGGTTCCAACTACTAGTAAGAGAGGGTAAAATGTCAAACTTTGTATTTGCATAACACATCCATATTTGTTGTTTTATTCGATTTATCATTCTAGACCGAATCAAAGGGCTTGGGTTTGGCACCCAGGTCATGTTTTTCGTTTGCTAACACTTGTTGCAGATATAGCCTGAAAAGACCCAGCACGCGCAGGATTGAAGGACCTGGATTTCGATACCCAGGTCCTGTGTTTTATTTTGCTAACATATTTTTTCAGATGCAGTGCATCCACATATGATCCTTCAGGCCTTTCCAGCAACACCCTTCATAAAATCGAAAGGCAGCCTTCCTTCTCTGGATCAAAGCTGCCCATTGTCCTCCTGGATCAAAGAAGGCAGCTCCCTTCTGGATCGAAAGAGCCATTAGCCTTCCTGGATGGAAGGATCCGTAGCCTTATGGATCAAAGAAGACATCTCCTTCCTGAATCAAAGGGGCATTCCCTTTCCCCTAGATCGAAGGGCAATCCCCTTTCCTGGACCGAAGGATTTTCTTTGTGTATTTTACTTTTCGTTTTGTTTATTTTCTCTTAATGATTTTCTACCTTAAAAATAAACAGCAAATAAAAAAAATCACAAAAAATATTAGGTTAGTGTTTTATTAATCAAATTAATTTATGAATAAATTAATTAATTATTTCAACATCTATTTTCTTAAAATTAAAATTAAATAGACTTAGGCTTTATTTTCTTTTATACTAAAAACAACAAAAATATTTTCTTTTACATTTTCAGATGTGTGTTAAACTTTGTGTGCGTTTATTTATTTTGACATTTTTAGATTATTGTAATTATCTACTAATAGTTTAGGATTTAAATTTCTATACTTTTAATTCCTCACTTTATTTTGCACCTCCTTTACTTTCCTTTTATTTCCAAATCCTTCTAAGACACTTTCTTAGTCGATTTTTATACTAATAACAACATTTGAACACTTTTCCTTTAGGGATTATGCACAAAATGTCTTAGAATTTTATAGTTTGTCCTGCAAGTAATTAATTATTTAAAACTAAGTGATTGTATATCAAAATCACCGGTAAACAAATTGGCACGTCTAGTGAGACTTTTTTGTGTAAAATTTTCAAGTTTTTTACAAGTGTTGTGTTCTTTCTATTAAAAATTGTTCTTAGTGCATGAAATGTTTTCAACGGTTATGAATGCATGTGTTTGAGAAGTGTTAAAGCTCTACTTGAAATGACGCGTCCGACCTCGAATAACCCTCACACTTCTAACCCTCATAACAATTCCCAAAATGCAGGAGAATAACCAACTGGATCAACGGATGGAGATGTGGTTGCCTCGACTCCCGTTGGAGCTGTAACACCCTAATTTAACCCCACGTAATTATAATTAAATCAGAGTAATTTAAAGACATCAATCATAATCAGGATGTTACATCCTTCAAAATTATGCATGCCCCCCGTAATATATAAATGATACATAACACCATCATAGATGAACCAACACAACACAACATAGTATTCAACTTCAAATTTTATTAATATGCGAAAAGGGTTCATAATTTAGAATGTAAATAAACTCATCCGGAAAAAAATCAACGTTTGCTCAAATATCAAAGAGTTCTTAAGACTTCGACAATTAATTAACATCAATAAAATAAAGATAGCGTTCACCCCCCTAGTGTTACGTATCAAAGCATGACGCCGATTCAAAATATACCACAAGTAACTTCCTCTACTGTGGATCACCCGCATGTTATCCATGTAGAGGGAACATTCAAATAGAGGGATGAGATATCATAACAATATAAAAGGAAGCATAA